TCACCTGCGACCCTCTGCTGACCTTAATCCACGTTTTTTCCGGTCTTTGAAGTGCTCTGGGACAGTTTTAGAGAATTTTCTGGCTCCGCCCACCTCGGGCTGGCCCCGCCCACAATATGTATACCCCACATTTCTCAATCGGCGACCCCTTGCTGACCTGAATTCACTTTATTCCGGTCTTCGGAGTGCTCTGGAACCGTTTTACAGACCTTTTTGTCTGGCTCCGCCCACCTCGGAGCACCCACAATGTTTTTGCACCACGATCCATTTTTGAGTTAGGGCCGCGATATTAGGGCCTAGCCAGACAGAGCAAATACTATCGCAGCGCCGCGTGTTCCACGCCCTCCCTCCTGCAGGGCACACATCCCGTTGTAGAGAATTTTTGCCAAGGAATTTGGATTTTGCTGAAGGAAGGAGAATTTGCTGCTCCGTCGGTATGACCCCTTTCGCCCTACCTCTTAGCAAATTTTATCGAACTTTCGCCGTCGAGCAAAGGGGAGGGGAATCAAGACTGCAATGGTAAGGTCAACCTAGGTAATAGTATACATACACTCAAAATCCCTATGGTGAGGTAGCCGTGGCTGCGTGCTTGAACTGAATCGCTACCGCTACGCTTTTCGCAAGATATTTTCAATTTGGGGCAATCGGGTCGTGCCTTGTCCGACACAGATCAAGATGACAGTTGTCTCAATTTGAAATATACTATGAGTAACCAATCCTATGTCCATGTTCGGATGCCACGCCTACTCCATCTCAAGGATAAGGAGTGCTCAAATACAGTCTTGATGCCTACAAAGGCGTGTGACGGGGCGTGGATTGGAGCGTTGCCAAGATGGCCTTCTTCACTGGTGATGCCATCGTGAGTCCGCAACAATTGGCGGGAAAGGCTGTCCTGGCGCGATCCAACTCACGTAACTTCACACGATCTATCATTTGCAGAGAACACGACTACAGTTTCAAAATCATCAACCAGAAAAGTGCTCACGCAGATTGACCAAGTTTTCTTCAATCTGTGGACAACTCGCGCTCAATCTCTTCAATCGCGTCATTTCGTTGTTGTTGTGTCTCGCGCACAGGGCCATTATCCACGCCTATGATCACCGACCACAGTGTATTCCGGCTTTCCACGTATGTTCGGTTGTTCACTCTCCCCGGCGTCCCTCCCGTAGAAGGAACCGATCCCCTCAGTCACCACATCTTCAATCAACGATTTTCACTGTTGTGACAGCATTTTTTGTGTATTTTTCCTTTACAGGGTTCTGCAAATGCAAAGAGTGCAGGTAGTCGTGTACACCCCTCCACCTCCGACTAGTCTAGCTATTCTTACATTGGTCCCTATTGTATCATGCATGGCGTGGGATCCCCGCCCATTTTGACCTGATATACCGTTCGCAAAGCTGCTTCAATATTTCGAGTCTGGATATGGAATCCCTCGCTTCATCGGTGTTCTACGAGCATACAAGTAATCGGGTGAAATATTGCGCTCCAACGCGCAAAAGCTGCGACGCGGCCACTTCCTTCGGAAAGGACTAAGTTTTGCCATTGTTCTTCTTTTGATTAAGATCATCTCTGTCTGGGAGAATTCGTCCGTATCATCCAGTTTATTGGTCTGCTAATTTATCGAACTGTGTAAACCCACCAACCTTTTAGTTGTCAATTTCGTTTAGGAGTCGGAAACTTATGAGTTCAGATTTTCATTGCAGAATGAAGAAGTCTTGCAATCTTTGTGGAGAAGCAGTAAGCACTGGTAAACTGAAGAGAATGTATACTGGATCAAAACACACGAATCTTATCACGCTTGCTTCCCTTTCACTGATTGGAGTTGTGGAAAGGGACAATGTTGACACTGTTTTGGGACAGATCAGCAAGAGTTCGAGCCGTGTTTGCTACTCTCATATTAAGCAAGCGGTGAGTTCATAAAGTTCTCTATTGGGATTAAGCTTTAATCGCACTTATTAAGGACAGGCCCAGTATTTGTGCGCCGAAATAGCAGCTAGAGGAATGCAACATTCTTATGGTAAGGGTCCCACTGCTGGAGGAACTCCTGCATACGTCAGCACTTCAGATATTCCGCAAAATCTTATTGATGTAATCAATGGGATGACCAAGGTAGGTTCTGATTCACGGTCTAGTTATCTGCGGATGATGGGGCGTGTCGGCGTGGCTGCGTTCGGCGCGCTGCCAAACCCATTCTCCAGCAGTTTGAGGCGTGTAGGTGAGAACAACTGGTTGAAAACACTGATACGAACGACGTTGTTCGCCGAAGGAAAAAAGGGTTGGCACCGTGCCAAACGTAACGGCGGTGATACGCCCCGTTATCCGCAGCTAACCAAACTATACAGCCTCGTTTCTCACGTAGTAAGTGTCTGAATTTCAAGACCAATGTTGTCATCAGCGCTCGAGATGTTCGTTCGTACGTCAATCTTGCGTTAAAGAAATTCGAAGCCGATTCTCTGTGGCCTGAGCACTGTCCCGACGAGGTGGTTTGGAAATCATTCCCGGTATCGCAGTGCTGGAACGCAGAGTAACCCAAATTTCAGGTGGAGTTGGAGAAGCCTCCGCCCATGGTTGAATCCATGGAATCTACTGCTCCTCCGGAACTGCTGATTAAAGCCGAAGTGGAGCTCGAAGATGATTTCGGCATGATTGAGAAACCTGAAGAAAATTATGATGTGGCTGCTACTCCGGATACGAAGGTGTGGTGAAAGTAACGTACAATTATTCTGTTCCTGCTGCATTCATACTTTGCGTCGGCGTTTTGAGCGACTAGGAAAGTAGAGTTATTGATCCAACCTTGCGGGCGTATGCCAGCTTACGGCAGCGTTCCGAGCGACCAGGAAAGTATAGATGTCGATCTAGCTCTTTGTCTGTATGCCAGTGAATTGAGCGTTTTCGCGAGTATCTTTGGATTTTTGTGGGTAATTGATGAAAACGCTGTTGGACGCCCAAAACGCTAGATCGATATCCATACTTTCTTAGTCGCTGAAAACGGCGCTGTACGCTGGCGTACGCCATATTACCCATATTTTCCTAGTAGCTGTAAACGCTGTCATAAGCTCGAAAAGCTGACGAAAAATACGAAGGCCGCCTTACTAGGTGATTTTAGGTGTATGAGCACGTCCCCGGCGGCAGCATTGATATGGAGAGCAACCCCACACCGCCGCCACAACAACTTGATCTCACGGATGCAGCTGATATGCAGAAATATTACCTTGTGAAAGGAGAAATGTTGATGAAGCTGTTCCGGTTTTGTCCCGAATGTGGACGTCGACTGGGCAAAACGCTGTTGAAATCCGTAGGCAGTGCAGCAGTGGTTCGGTTTGTATGTGAAAACTGCTTTCGTTCATCGCCTTTGAAGAAATGGGAAAGTCAGCGCCTGCAGTACGGCTCACTACTTAACCTTGATTAATCTTTAATGGGATGTGAGTGCAATATGTATTAAATTTTCACGCAAAATGAGGCTTTTCATCGAGATCAGCATTTCTGCTCGCAATTTTCTGCTCACACTTCAGGAAATTTCTTCTCCTTCAGCTTTGTCCTGCTCTGGTGCGAGTTCTCCCCTCTTTATTTTGTATCGCTTTTTTCGATTTGGCCTGTTCGGGATGAGTGTCAACTATCTTCCACAATCATCGTGTTTACCCCACGCTGTCTGGGGCGTCCCTTAGCCCTTCTGGGCAGCTCAGGACGAGTTTCACCTGAGTTGTCAAAATTCGCGCACAGTACACGACCATACCATATAAGGCAAGATGGCGCATTTTCTTCGTAAAGGGATCTACATCGAATCTCTCGCACATACTACAATTACGAACGCGATGGCCGTAATCAGTTTTTCGATCCTTCTAATCCTCAAAGACGTCCCCCTCCCAGGCAGGTCTGGGTGGTGATTGGCACAAATTTCAAAAATTGACGCGTCCGGTATTGTACGGAGGTGTAGTTTGGGAAATCCTGGCATAGCATCGTGGGCATACAGACATTTCTTGCTAGTTGCATCGTCTTGTTAGCACTTTGGTGTCAAATCGGTCATGGTGTTCACAGTATCTTGCACTTTCGATGAAAAGTAGCACTTTGTAATATGTGAATTGAAACTTGTAACGTGTATCTTATTAAAGGCAGTTGGCACGATGATTCGATGCTCGGCCTAAAATGCTAGTAGGGCGCTATATAGTGGGGAAATGGCGAAAGAACGGAGTGAAACGGTCAAAATCCTGCGAAGAAAGAGCCTCCGTTCTCAATGTGTCCAATTTTGGACGAGTTTACCGTTTCTTGTCAGTTATCGCTACCGAACATACGGCTGCGTGTGTACTCATATATTCATGCAGCACCACGGCCGCTTCATATCAATCCCTTCGCTTCATAATTTGCTTAGCAAATGAATCAATACGAGCGTCAGGAACGGTCGTCCATTTGTGGGCGGGGGCGGGCGTTTGGGTCGGTATGTTGGCTTGATAGGGCCCTTATAAGGGCACCTTCCTTGGAAAAGGCATTATGCAGCGCCTGCTCAGGGTCGCGGAATTCCGTCCTGCCAGGCGTACTAATCCTACTCGTCTTGGGGAATTTATCGTGCCAACTGCCTTTAAGTAGTTTCCTTCTAAAAATGATTTCTATCTTGTGAAAATTCTTTCGGTATTTTTCTGTTTACAATGTTGTAGCGAAGGTCCAACAGGCAGATTATTAAGTACCCAACTGACGCAGTTCGGCGACGAGGAGGGGGGGGGGCATTTTGCACTTTCACTGCTTCACTACTTCCGGTTTACAAGTCTCACTCTGGTGAAACTTGTGAACTCTTGTGAAGCTGGAGCAAGCTCGTCTAGCCACCATGGTAAAACGTGTCAACTCAAGAAAACTTTATTTAGATGGGTCGACACACAGATGGGAAGCAAATGCACCCCCTCCCCCGTCGCCGAACTGCGCCTACCCACCTATATTGTTCACTCTCTTGGGAAAGCTACAGTCATGGATGGTTCAATTAACTTGTTGATTTCTTCTTTGCGTAGGCTCTTGAGTAGCCTCTAGTACTGTACATATAATTCAAATGTTCCATCACTATTTGCTATCTATCCTGTAACCCCTTTTGTTGTTTTCCTTTTTTCTTTTTGTAGTTTCATTTCCTCTATTATTCCTCGCTTTTGAGTTTTCGTGCAGAAGGGGAGGATAACCCTTGTACATAAAAGAATTGTCTTCTGTTGTTGTGTTTTCATACCCTTTTATGGTTTTGTTAGTTGGAAGGAAAAAATGACACATCTTATACGAAATTTTTGTTCTATCACACTGAATTAAAAACAGTAATTTGTTTGAGAAACCCCTTAGAGGCTTTCCTGAATGCGGCTAGCTGGGCCTCAAGGGATACCTAAAATCACTTTCCGAGGTCATCGTGTCTTCTTGAAATCTTTGTCATCCAGAAGGCGCTGAAGCTATGAAAGCACTGGTGATGGGAGGCTGCGGAGGGTAGGGTGGGTAGGCGATGATGTTCATCCCTATGTCGTCAGCTCACTCTTCGTCATTGTTGCGGTGAATGTGAATGTGAATGCGTTGTCGTGCTGGAAGTAAACTAATTTGGTGTTGACGATAATATCGAGGTGAAACTCAAGCTTTTGTAGTTGTAGTGGCCATGGGTAATGCAGACGTTGGCCGTCACTATCGTTCCCTCGTGAAGTAGCTTCCAGTCCTCCACGCCATGAACGTCACACCACATGCCCAGCATAGACTTGAAGGTCGGGTTGTGGCACGTCTTCTGCTTTCTTGACAACCCACTAGCACAGATGTGCAAGTTAGAGAAGAGTGAACCACTTCCCACCCCGTGACAAGGGTGTCCAGACGCGCAAATGTGCGCTTGATAGTGAGAAAAGTGAGCGCCATTTCTGCCCCGCGATCTATGTCGTTTTGCGTCAGTGCGTGGGGTGTCCATCCTCCTCATCCTTCCTCTACCTACTGTCGTACTTTATTGCCTTTTTGCCGAGCGGGAATAGATAGCACCAGAGAAACGCAGAAAGCGCGAACCGAAAAATTCTTCAAGGGTGAACCCTCTTTCCCAGCGACAAGCAGCAAGCAGCTACGCCCCACCCTGCTCTAAGCTACCATTAACGACCAATACCTGAAAATACCCCAACGTAGGACGTGCTGTGAGGTATGAACTAGCTGTGATGGTGAGCTAAGGCTACGGCAGCTCAGCCTAAGCTGCGATAACGATCTCCGATAAAATAATGCGCTCTAGAGGGTAAGCCGCGACGCGGCCGCTCCCCGGCTAACAGAACCGGCACAGCGAAGTCTTTCTCCCATCGGTACAGCGCTTCTTACCAAGCAGGTGTGTACCTGGGAACTGGGGGGATGTTCTGGTTTCCTGCAGTTGTTAGGATTGCTACAGCACCCACAACCGCTTTATTGTCTACTCGTCAACTGCAAGGTAGAAACAGTATGTTTTTGTGTTCAGGTTCGAAATGAAGAGGTCTTGCGCTCTTTGTGGACGTGCCTCCATCGCTAAGAACATGAAGAGGATGTGTGTTGGATCGAGAAGTACAAATCTCATTATGGTTGCTTCGCTGTCATCGGTCGGAATTGTTGCTAGATCGGATGTTAGCACTGTTGTGGACTTCATTAGCAGGAATTCAAGATATATTTGTTATTCGCATGTAATGCAAGCGGTAAGTTTTGAGCGACTTTTGTTACTATTTGTTACTGTTCTCGATGCCACTACATTTTCTATGAGCAGACGCAGTATTTATGTGCTGAAATAGCAGCTAAAGGAGGGCACCTTTCGTACTATAATGGTGAAGCATATGTCACTACTGAGGATATCCCGCTTCATGTTGTTGAGATGATCAATGGATTTAACAACGTAAGTTCTACAAATACAAATACTTTAGTTCGCTGCGTCGAAGGGGCGTGTCAGGCAGTGTGAATGTGCCACGGGGCCAAATCCGTTTTCTGCCAATTCTTTATGTGGGTATGCGACTGCAATTAGTAGAAAAGGATAGTGCATCCCGCCACTTGCTTCGCTTGCTCGCTTCATAGAACAGGTGGAGAATGTTTTGGCACCTCACCAAACTCATACCGCCTGCCACGCCCCTTCGTCCGCAGCGAACTATACTATGGCTTCATCTCTCATACTTTACGAAAATCCTTTCTAAGACTGATGCTGTCATCACCGCTCGAGATGTGCGCTTGTTCATTAATGTCGCGTTCAAGAAGTATCCCGCGACTTCTCTGTGGCCCGGGGTCCTCTGCAGAGGAGGAGGTTTAGACACGATTACAGTTATACTGCTAAAGTATCGCGCAATGACTCCATTTTCAGAGTGGAGAAATAACGGCTCGATCTGAGCCAGTTGTTCAAGTAGAAGTGGGTTATGGAGATGATGTCGGCGTGAAGCGTGAAGGAGATGTTGATGTAGCATCTAATTTGACTACTGAGGTTCTGCCTGTATAACGCTCGTTTATTGTGTTACCAATAAAATAGACGTTTAGGTGTACCAGCACGTCCCTGGTAACAGCGATTTGGAATGTAGCTCCATACCAGAGTCATTTCAATACGAAAAGACGGATGCAGTTGATCTGCATAGGTACTATCTCGTGAAAGGAGAAAGGTTGATCAAGTTGTTCCGTTTTTGTCCCGAGTGTGGACAGCCAGTAAATATGACGCAGTTGAAACCGGTTGGTACTGCAGCTGTAGTTCGGTTCGAGTGTGAAGGCGGCAGCGTTTGTGTACCGCCTATGAAAAGGTGGGAAAGCCAACGTCCGCGATACGGCGGCAGTATCGAACGTTGAGCAGGTCCATTTTTTATAAATTTTAGATGTTTTGTATCAATTTCTATTTGAACCTAAGCGTTTTCTTTGAGATTTGTCACTAATGCTCACTATCGTTTACCAGATTCATGTTTTATATGTTTTGATTCATGTTTCCATGCAATATCCGTTTCGTCCTAGGCCAATAGGTGAAGAAAGAATAATCAGTGTGCGTCAGCGTCTCATTAAAGGCAGTTGGCACGATAAATCGCTATACAGGTGTAGGATTTGTACAACTGGCTTAACAGAATTCCGTGACCTCGGACAGGCGCTGCGTGAAGCCTTTTCCAAGGAGGGTACCTCTATAACGCCCTATTGAGCAACAACTTTACGTCCCAAACGCCTTCCTTGCCCGCCCGCCCACAAACGGACGACCGTTTCTGACGCTCGTATTCATTCATTTGCTGAGCAAATTATGAAGCAAAGGGATTGGTATGAAGCGGCGGTGATGCTGCATGCATATATGGGTACACATATGCAGCCGTATCTTCGGTAGCGGTGATTGGCAAGATGCGTACGGGAAACTCGTCCGAAATCGATTTACAAGTCACTGAGAACGGAGGCTTTTTCTTCGCAGGATTTTGACCGTTTCACTCCGTTCTTTCGCCATTTCCCACTATACAGCGCCCTACTAGCATTTTAGGCTAAGTAGGAAACCATCGTGCCAACTGCCTTTAAGATCTCACATAATTGTAGCTATGTTCATCCTGGGCGGCAAGTCGCAATTTTTTCCCACTAGCGGTTCAATGGCGCTTCAATCAAACTTCACTGGCGACTTTTGAAATTGTTTTTGCGCAAAACTGTGCCTGTTCTTTGGACATAGCTTAGTTAGCTACTGACGACAAACAGACTGGGACATTTCTTCTCATATCGCGCAATCTGCCAAACAGGGTACGCCATCGTTGTGATAATCACAGCAAGGGGGGGGGGTCGTACAGCTTGAAAGATGGAAGATTTATTCATTGTTCCTCATGTGCAGAACCCGTGAAGAGACATCTGAAGACGGAACCTGCAAGCTCAGAAGTGAAGAACAGGCGATAACAGGAAGTACGATGGTCGCCTACAACGGCAGGGCACATCGTTGGTTGGGGAATCCCAACAGGGGGGGGGGTCGTAATGAGTGCGGTAGCCAGTAACGAGCAGTCAGTGTGCTGAGTCCTGTACAGCGAAGCTTGCTTTGTAGAGAACTCGGATATGTAAAAAAAGTACAAAACTTTCATTCATCAAACTAATCTGAAATAACTGGAAATATAAAAAGTCGACATCATCTCGTAAGTGACTAAACAGTACAACTCATACTCTGGTTCGCTGCGGATGATGGGGCGTGTCCGCGATCGCGCTTGGCGCTGAACCTGTTTTTTTCGACAAACGACAGGACTACCATATCGTTCGTATCAGACGTTTTCCAGCAGTTGGTCTCCTTTATCGGAATCAGCAATTGGCGGAGCACGAATCTGGCGGCGTCGACAGGGACACGCTCCATCATACGCAACGGAAAACACTAAACAAGTGCACAGGTTCGCCATGGACCTCCCTGAATCCTATAGACACATTTGCTCGCGTGGACAGACATTACGCTCAAATTGCACCATCCCATCACCTCTGCGCGGACCTCAATGCGCGGCGCATCCAAAGTTAGCATGATTGGCGCTAAACAAACCACATCCTGCTCCTGCTCCACCACAGGATACGTTCTACATGTATTTCTGGTTATTCGAACACGCTCGCTTGAAACCGTACACAGAAAACGGACTTTCGAACAGTTCGGAGTGTTCCCCAAAAAATCCCCAACGCTGAATTTTCTCTATGAATTTGGCGACCTTCATAAACATTTCAGTACTTTTAGGAAGCTCAAACCTTCCTCTACACGACTGCGGTCTCCTCTTTCCCACAGGTCCGCTTGCCCTTCAAAGACACCCTGTTTTTCTGAAAACTCGCCCTCCAATCCAACCACCTTGCACGGCTGGTCCTGCCCAGAATCCCTTCCAATCGATTCCTCACCATTTTCCAGCTGATCGGCTGGTATAGCTCCATTTCTTTTCTTTTTTTCTGTTATGCTGTCTGTTTTTCTGTTATGTTATGCTATTTCTGCTTTCGGTTGCGTTATGTTATGCTACATCATTTAGGCCGCGTTCATAGCTTGCGACGGTGAAGAAATGCAAAATGAGAAATGGCGAATTGCTGAAAAATTGGAAATTGTAATGCTTTTCGTCATTTCTGCATTTTCCGCACTTCTGCATTTCCGCATTTCTGCATTTCTTCAAATTGATGTGTATATTACGCCTTCCATCATTTCCTCGGATTCCGCATTGCTTCATGGCCTTAGGCTTTGTAGGGTGGGGGGATCAGCACATTCGCTACTTCACATCCTGGTATTCATTGCGTCACAAAAGTTGACAGGTATTCCTCCAAACTTTGAGTGGAATCACTTTATGCCTTTACAACCTAGAGCCGCCATATAGCTCTAGTGCCTAGCTCGAGCTCGAAAAGAAAAACAAACTGTAAGAAAAAAAAGGGGGGGGGTTGTACTGAACCCCCCAAAAAGGGGAGGGGGTCGTACGGGTTCGACCGAAATCCCCAACTAATGCTGTGACCCTGCTACAACGACGTCAAAGACTAATAATCAGATGAAACATGTACCTGTTCGGACCTTCTGGTCGTAACAGCGCATCTGCTTGCATTTAGGAAGCCTATCTACAGTGCAGTTCTCAGCGGACGGTGGGGCGGTCCTAAGGCCACGCTGGCGAGCGGCCCGATAGTTGCCTGTCGGTGGATGGCCGCAAAAACCTTGCCTCTGCGTCTCTTACTCTGCACTCTGCGCTCTAACACACGCCGCCGCACCGTCTACCCACTCTTCCGCTATGGGCTCTTACCGATCGATAATTCTCTCGATCAGCTGATTCCTGCCGCATTTTCGCAGTATTTTTGCTAGATTCAGCTTGTTAAAGCTGAAATTTTCCGACTTTTGACTTCAATGTTCGAAGGTGAGTATTCTTACTGAAATTATATCACATTTTGCATGAATTTAGCATTAAATTGGGAAAGAAAAAAAATTGAATTGGGAATTTTAGCATGGAAAAGCGAACCATTAAGGCAACTTCGAGCTTCAAAAAAGTGTCAGAGATGGTTCTCGATAATAGCGAGATCATCTGAGACACTGCTTTGAAAACTCGGTCAATATCATAAAATAAATGGGGATATTAAGGAAAAGTTTGGAGAAATTGCGAAAATCAGAAAGAAAAACAAGTTTCCTAGGGGAATTTCATGCTAAATTCATTCAAAATGTGGAATACTTTCAGTAAGGATACTCACCTTCGAACATTGAGGTCAAAAGTCGAAAAATTTCAGCTTTAACAAGCTGAATCTAGCAAAAATACTGCGAAAATGCGGCAGGAATCAGCTGATCGAGAGCAATTATCGATCGGTAAGAGTCCAGAGCGGAAGAGTGGGTAGACGGTGCGGCGGCGTGTGTTAGAGCGCAGAGTGCAGAGTAAGAGACGGAGAGGCAATGATGATAATCTCCTGAAAGTTTTCGGCTTCCCATCGACACGCAATCACCGGAACGCTCGCCAGCGTGGTCGTAGGGAACGCCCCACCGTCCGGTGAGCGCTCAACTGTAGAAGGTACACCTCCTCAGCACTGTAGCCGGGGGTCGTATGCATGGCTCATTATAGAGGTGATGCCAGTCGGCGGCGAATGACTTTTTCTGATACTCCTTGGCGAAAATATGTTTTAGAATCATACCAAAGTCTTCAAACCAAGTGAGTGGTACTACGTCGGATCGGTGGGTTTTTTGTATCGTCCGAAAAGTGTCGCAAGGAATCGTCCGAAAGGTTTCGCAACTACATCACAACGGGGAATTTTTTGGAATACAGACCTAGGAAAAAAATAAAAGTTTCATTAAAAAGTAGAAATCTTCCCGATTTTGGCACCATTTTGTTTGTTCTACAAGTGGCCTTGTATGAAGATTGTTTCAGCTGTTCGAAGCGTAAGAACTCGTATGACCGTAAAATGTCATAACAGGGTTACGACATTTTACGGTCATACGAGTTCTTACGCTCGTAAGGGAGTTCCTTTGAAAAGATTTTTTAGACTCGGGTAATAAGTGTCTTAGTGCTTCACAGCCCCGCTTTCCCCCTCTTCAAACTCAAAGAACCGCGACCCGACCGGTCGCGGTGATATAAACTGTAGAGGCACCTGCACTGAATTGTTTATCTGATGGCCCGATAAGCAACTTAGTGTTGGTACTCTCATGGGGCATGAATTTGCCAGCACTTAACTGTTCATATGGTAGCAGATAACGATTTTTGCTGGCGAAATATCGTTTATCTTCTATCGGATGTACAGTTCCTTCATTTTTGGCCCTGTGTGGAAATAACGTTTGCTTGGTAAATTCACCCATCCTTAGCACTGAGTCCATTCATCCATCAGGCGTTGTTTCCCCCCCCCCGTGATTTTCGCTTTTATCCGCAAAAAGGAAGATTTCGCAACTCTTAGGCCATTAGCAATGGACAGGGTGGGGGGTCGTATCGAGACCCTCTCTTGGGGCGGGGTCGTATTAAGCAGAAATTTATCGCAACGCGATGCGATGGCGTGCCCTGCTGCCGATTACTAGAGCTGCTGTTTTTGATCTCTGTGTCCTTGGAGTGCATCGGCCGCAAGTGCTACGAGTGCTATTTGCTCGTGACCAATGAGGCCTCGTTCATACTGTGCGGCTGAAGAGCTTTGGCGGTTCGGAAGATTCTGCTATTCGGGCGATTGTGCAGAGGAAAGCGTCGGGGTCGATCTGTCTGTTAGAAGAATTGCGGGATTTCGCGATCTTGCGATTTGGGCGGCTCGAAACACCGGATCGCCAAGTCTCTCAAATTCCGGATCGCTTAGTCTCCCAAAACAGCGGAACAGATTGCCGAGTCTAAACGTCGGCTCGCCATTTTTTTGCGTGGACATATATTCTTTCATCGTCGTGCAATCCGTCGTATCGCCGAGTCTTCCGAATCGCCGAACCTCATCAGTCGTAAAGGACGAAGGCAGGTTTTCACGGCACATTTATGTGTAGTAACCTGGAATGGTCAAAAAACCTTTCAAGACTTGCTCGCTCAAACATTTAATACTAGAAGAAATACAAGAACGATATACATTATGCCAAGAGTGCAAGGAAGTAACATGGACTGTTCTGAAACTTGTACCGTCCGTATAGCCTTTTTGTGAGTCATGCACTTTATTTATTTAGGCATCAATAAAGATTGTGTTATCCGCGTACGTTCAATGATGCGGGCACATAACACAAAACAATATAATTAGTTCATTAGGTCCCACATGTTATTAGTGTTTTCGGCACTATTTGCCCTTTACTGCCCCAATCTTCCGAAAACAGGCCAGTTTTGACCGACTTTTTTCTGCCTTGGCAGAATTGGCTGAAAATTTGTACCCTGGGGTAGTTTGACCTCCTGAACATGAATATCACATCCGCTAGGCACGAAACCTCCTGGCGCCGGCGCCAAAATACCTCAAATCACCAAATTCGCTGAAAACTTGTTCTCAGGGTAGTCTGACCTCCTGAACACGAATATCACATCCGCTCGGCCTGAAACCTCCTGCGCCCGCGCTACAGGTGCTGGCGCCAAAATACCCCAGATCACCGGCGCCTGTGGCGCGGGCGCCAGGAAGTTTCGGGCTAAGCGAATGTCATATTCGTATTCAGGAGGTCAAAATACCCCAGGAGACAACATTTGAGCCAAATCTGTCCACGGAGAAAAAAGTCGGTCAGAAACTGGCTCAATTCTGGATGGTTGGGGCAGTAAAGGGTTAATAGTGTCGTGTTTTTGAAAGCCCGCTATCTTTTTGCCCCGTGAAAGACTCGCTTAGCTTTTACTTTTCTTACGTAACTTTCCCTGTTTTTATATCAGTTGTAGAATGCGCTCTGTTCCTTTCGTTTTTCGTTCAGTGACGATTTAGCCTACCCCTATCGGACATCAGTTTTGTCTCCCACAGTCGCTGACGCCACCACTTTGTTTCTTGCTCCTTATTCCTTGGAAGATAGTGTTTCTTTTCTCCTAACTTCGGTTGTATATAGTGCTCTAACGGTTGCAGTTCACCTGATTTTGGCTTTAACTTGCTTTGCAACTAGTGACTGAGCTTGAACCTAGTCCAGTATTAATATTTGAAGGGCACAGTTTGCTGTCGCAGCAAGTTCAACGTTTTGAGCAGGGCAGTTTTCACTAAATATACACAGTAAACTAACATTGAATGTTTTCTACAGATATTTTTTCTGAGGGGAAACAGTGTCCTTTTGTTGTTTGGATGTATATCTAAAGAAAAGTGGAAATTTAAGGGTATATTCAGGCGCAGTTTATCGACGGGGGGGGGGCATTTTGCTTTCCATAGATGTGTCGACCCATCTAGGTAGCGTTTTCTTGACACGTTTTGGGATGGTGGCTAGACGATCCTGCTCCAGCTTTACAAGAGTTCACAAGTTTTACCAAAGTGAGATTTGCAAACCGGAACAAGGGAAGCAGTGATAGTACAAAATGCCCCCCCCCCGTCGATAAACAGCGCCGTATATTCGTTCTATACTCATTCTGTTTTTTTTTTATTTCTCTGATGGCATACCGAATGCATCAAGAGATTAGGTGCTACTATTGTCACACTCCGGGACATGTCATATTGTGATTCATTTTCACTGCTTAGTTCATCTGGATGTCTTATGAGCATGATTGTTAACTTTATATTTTGTGCTGCACAGGACGAATGTGAATGAAGATTCCAGTGATGTTTGTTGTTCAAAAATTACTGGAATATAACACACTAGAGGGAAGCAGAGAATGAAACGAAGAAGTGAGTGCGCAAGGTTGACATAAACGAACGCTGTCACTGAGTTGCAAAGCCTAATGGTAAATAATTGGCACATACCCCTCGCATAAGCGAAAATAGTCTGCTCCAATGCGAAGGCCGCGACGCGACCGCTTACTTCTTCGCAGCTGAATTTTCCTGTTCGTGTACTGCTTCAGATTTGCAGCACTTCTTAGTTTTCTTATTTGCTCAGAACGCAAGGTAGCAATTGAACTGTCCTGTTTACCTGTTTGTCACTTTCAGAACCGTTGTTTAGTTTAGGTTTCACTGCGCAATGAGAAGATGTTGCGCTCTTTGTGGAAATATAGACAGCGAGAAAGCCATGAAGAGGATGTGTACTGGATCAAAAAACACGAATCTTATTATGGTTGCTTCGCTTTCATTAGTTGGGATAGTGGATAGAGCAAATGCTGAAGCAGTTGTAGAAGAGATTAGCAGAAATTCTAAATATATTTGTTATTCGCATGTAATGCAAGCGGTAAGTTTTGTTCTATTTTGCTAGTATCTCATTCTGATCTCTTTTTACGTGCAGGCTCAATATTTATGTGCTGAAATGGCAGCTAGAGGGAGACGTTTGTCGTTTTACAAAAGTGAAGCGTACGTCACTTCTGAAGATATTCCGGCAGATTTTGTTGAAGTGATTAACAGCATAAACAACGTGAGCTGTAAACTTTCCATCTTCTCTTAAACATTGTAAATTTCAAAGTTTAAGAGCAATACTACAATCACAGCTCGAGATGTGCGGTCGTTTGTTAATTGCATGTTGAAGAGGTATCATGCGTCTTCTCTATGGCCTGAGCAATATACGGAAGACGAGGTTTGAAAACGATTGTTATTATTTCACTATTACTACCGAAAAACTCGATTTTTTTTTCGCTGAAACTTCGCTCACAGATGTAATTAGATGCCCTGTTCACGAATATGGTATTCACGTCTAGAGCGACATTTGGCGAGATTAGTCGCCAGTTTTCTCGAAAATGTTATATTTATTTCACCTATCACACCAAAAACAAGAAAACTCGTATACTGGGGTTATTCGATGTCCTAATCACGAAAAACACCCTCTTTGGGTACTCTGACCATACGCGCTGTGCTAAGGCTTACGAGAAGGAAACCACTTCTGCTCTCAGGCTCAGCTTTAGCAAAGCGCTATATTTCGCAGGTGTCGCCATTTTCGTGATCAGTGTATCATTGAGCCTTACTATGCAGGTTTTTACAGATTTTGGTCAAAAAGGTGCGGTGGTCATCGGCGTCATTTGGCGCGAAATGGCGCTAGCGACAAGAACGAATGTCATATTCGTGATCAACATGTCAAATAATTCTCGTATACAAGTTTGCATCGATTTAGTGGCAAAGGTGATGGGGCGAGGGGCACCGAAAATGGATGTAATTCTTGTGATCAGGATACCGTATTACATCTGTAGGCAGAATTCCAGCAGGAATAACTTTTTTTGGGTTTTTGGAGTCGTAATAGCGAGATAAAGCCCGATTTATTGTTTCTTTAGCGCTTGATATTCAAAAGTTCAGATGGAGATGAAATTGCCTGTGCCTGAAGCTGGAGCTTCTACTGCTCGTCCTGAGCAGGACGTTAAAGTCGAAGTTGACTCTGGAAATGATGTTGATATGATGGAGAGACATGGAGGGAATGATGACGAAGAGTCCACTTTTGAAACGAAGGTATAAAAATAACGGCACTATTTACCCTTTACTGCCCACCATCCAAAATGAGCTTGTTTCTGACCGACTTTTTTCTCCGTGGACAGATTTGGCTCAAATGTTGTCTCCTGGGGTATTTTGACCTCCTGAATACGAATATGACATTCGCTTAGCCCGAAACCTGGCGCCCGCGCCACAGGCGCCGGTGATCTGGGGTATTTTGGCGCCAGCGCCTGTAGCGCGGGCGCCAGGAGGTTTCAGGCCGAGCGGATGTGATATTCTGTTCAGAAGGCCATACACGGGTGTAGGTTAGGACTCCACGAGAGGTCACGGCTGCCATGTCTCGCCTCGCCGCGCGCGGCGATTGCAACTGATTTTACGAGAGCAACATGGTCGTGCGATTAAGATCCCGGTCCCTTCACATAGTTCTGGCATCACGCGAATCTGCTTGGGATTTTTCCAAACCAGAATATTCAATGGGACGACAGTATTTTTGAATGGCAGCTGTACTTATTCGACGGGTTGCTGTATTTCTTCAATAGGACCTACTTTCACCGTCTGGCCGAGAATCTTAAACCTTACAATATCTTACAATTGAGGCCAAAAGAAGGATTCACCCTGAAAAGAATTTTCGTAGATTGCTGATGTATTCTCTAAATATTATTTCTATGTTAATGGGCGTTGTTTTATACTAGTAGTTGAATATCGGGCCCATTCCTTTCATAGCCTTCACACCTGCAAGTATAAAGCAGACGGTTGGAAATCTCATGAACTATGCAAATGCAAAAAATACATAGCGAAAGCATCGCGGAGAGCACCTCCGCGGCGGCGGCAGGCTGACCTCTCGTGGAGTCCTAACCGTTCCCCCCATACCACCCCTGAGAACAAGTTCTCAGCGAACTTGGTGATTTAAGGGTTTTGGCGCCGGCACGGGCGCCGGCACCCGTGGCGCGGCGCCAGGAGGTTTCGTGCCTAGCGGATGTGATATTCATGTTCAGGAGGTCAAACTACCCCAGGAGACAAATTTTCAGCCAATTCTGCCAACGCAGAAAAAAGTCTGTCCAAAGAGCTTTCGTCTTATTTTTCCTCTACAAGGTGTGATTTTAGGTGTTTGAGGACGTCCCTGCAAATAGCGATGTGGAGGGCAACTCCCTGTCAATGTCACAGCAGGTTGGGATGACGCATGCTACCGATTTACAGAAGTACTACCTCGTAAAGGGCGAAATGTTGATGAAGCTCTTCCGTTTCTGTCCCGAATGCGGGAAAGCGACTGGGCAGGGCACAGTTGAAATCGGTTGGCACTGCAGCTGTGGTTCGGTTTGTATGTGAGAGCTGCAGCGTCCGTCCAGTTGGTGTTAAAAATTGGGAAAGCCAAGGGCGAGCCGGGTCTACGAAACGTGTTCAGTAGTAAATGTTGGAATTTATCTTATTCGTATTTCCAGTGGATTTTGTAAATTATGATGTTGTATTTCTTCTATGTATATTGCTTCATGTGTACGCATGTATTCATATGTAAACCCTAACGTTCAGCTTTCTCCTAGAGGTGAACCATCATTTTTTAACCACCTTTTACCGGCGATTCCTGCACGTCTTGTGCCCAGTCATCAATTTTAGGTGTAATGGAAGGAACGAATGATTTCTGGTACACCGTACGATCTTTTCGAGATCTCCCTACGTTTTAGCTTTGTTAACATTGATCGGTAAGTCAGTGAAGTCAACAAAATTTTGAAGGAGAGATTATTGCTACTTCGCCATTATTCGGAGCATCCTTCAGATGTCATTGGCGATTTAGGTTATTGAGAAACCGTATGTAAGGATATAGTTCTGCCAAACTTTAAAAAATTCATAGAGATTCGGTGGGGGACGAGGACGCACTCACCTGCGAATACTGCCTCGGAATCTGACACTGTCAGAGAAAATCCATCAATTTGCTTTTTACAGCCATTCCTGTAATCAGCGAACTTACGAGCAAGCGCTTTCATCTGTATTTTACAAGTGCGTTTACCGAAAACAGTCAAGTGTAGCCCTCAGAACCAAGATTTGTTAGAGTTATCTGACACAAGACAAAATATCGAAAATTGTCAAAGTTTGCGATAAAAGAGTAACTATGATAAGTGTAATGTGAAATTGAGACGAACACAGCTATCAAACAAGGAAGGACAATACCTACAATGTTTCAATATATACCATTTTCATTGTCAATCGGACATTTCAAATCGAAACAAAACTCCAGTTTTTTCCCCGGTGACGCGAAAGAATAACCTGCTAGATCGCAATCTAGCTTGCAGTTCTGGATGAGTTTCCAGAGGGAGCGGAGCTTCTGTGAGGTGGGTGAAGCAGCCTAAAAATGCGAGGAAAAAATTAAAATTCCGTTGGAAGACAAAAAGCGTGACCAAGGGACGGGACTCGGGGTCTTGCTTCCTAAATGCGTTTTATGTGTACGCACATCTTGTGAGGGAGGAATGTGAAAAGGACGTCTAACTGTAAGAAAGTTGTAGAAAATGTAAACTTGCACTTCATTAAAAATTGGGCGGAGTCGCACGTGTGTCTGTATCACAGGAGGAGAATTCGTAAAACATTTTGGAAAACAATGACCACGCTGAAAAGTGGGCTGGGATGTTGGAACGGAACCTACAGCAGTACATAGTATGGCCAATCAACTGCCCGATGTAGCTATGCCTGATAAGCGACCCATGTGACTCATGGTACCACTTCTTGAACAAACGCGGATTCTGCTCAGGTTCATCATGTGCTTGCGCTCCCTAACAGCTCTCCTCCTCTGGGACAGGGTCATTATTTTGCCACTTCATAAAGGCTGGACGTCAAAATGATCGACATAAGCCACACCTAAAACGCCTCTGCGAGCGCGTTCATACTTCGCGTTCGCGGTCTGAACACGCTCTGATACAGAGATACAGCGTACTTCTTTTCATATCTGTAGTAAGCCACACGTTGAATTCAGAAAAAAAAGTAGGGTAAAACGCGATTGCAACATATTCTGGTATTTAATTATTTATTATAAATTTCTCAATGTGAACAAAAATGATGATGTATTAGTAACATTTGCTCAACGGAACACGGATGCCGCTCAATTCTATCAAGTGCTTCCCGTACTTCTCGTACAGCTCTCCTCCTTCCTGAAACAATGTGGTTGCTATTTCACAATAACAACTAAATCGCTTCACAAATATGCCATCACAAGCTCGACACAAGCCTCACCTGAAACGCCTCTGATGGTTCACGCATAGTAAGCGCTATTCTTCTTCCACGAATGTGTTGCGAAAACACCGCATGCTTCCACTCGTATCTGAAATTAAATTTGTTTCAAACATATGAAAAGAAAAAATTAAACATTTCTAATGGAAACATGCTCTTCCCACAGGCAAGCCCACGATATAATGCTTCAACACTTATAATGTCTATGAAAAGTGCAAGGGCGGTCCGCATTCTACTGCCACTCAGGAACGTGGCTGCTGAACTATGACCCACGCAATGGCTTGCAAACCAGCCGATGAACAAGTCAGTGTCCCACCTCTTCCAAATGAGTCCGGTATCAATTTACCATTCGGAGAGTAGAGCTGAACGTACCCTATATCCATTTGAGTAGGTCTGCGATTGGCCACTACTATGCTGCCCTAATATAACCATGATTCCAGAACGTTAAATGTTTAATTAAGCTTATGTGATGGCGAAACGTTGACCACCACAAAAAAAGTCACCAGGTAGTGGGATCTCGTTGCAAGCGAGGGGCTGAAGCCGCTATGCGGCAGGAAATGGTCCTTTCCCAACCCAAGGCTCGGCTTCACAAGAGAGTCCGCAGGCGGACATATTGTGGGCCTTTCGAAAGTGAAGGATCGGGACTCCATGTACCGGGTTTGTCCTCCCCTCCCCTCCCCCAACTACAATTGGTCCAAAAACCTTGTAAGTTAGAGTTCGAGCATCGAGCACGAAGATCAATACAAAGGCGAAGGTTTAAAATGAGATGACATAAAACTTTTACGAATGAAAAAGCCCACCTTGCTTCATCGGACAAACACAGCAAAGTTCTGCGAGGCATCCATATGTAGCAAAGCTGAAAGATGTGGTTAAAGCAACGGAACCACTTCGAGCAAAAAAAAATGTCGTGTGCAGCAGACATCAAATTGCAGGTAGTTTGTAGTTCATCTGTATGCCCTGGGGTGAGATAAGGGAAACTACTGCTAAAAAAATGGAAATCATTGGATGTAGCGGTATTACTTAGTCACATTACTTTTCTCTGCTATAGAATACATACAATTTATACAGGGTGTTAGTCATGTGCTGGGAAGAGAGGACGCTGGTAGTGCTGAAACAGCCACATTTGGGGAAACGAAAAGGAAAAGAGTATTGGGCCACAACTATGCCGAGGTTTATTGAGAGCCGTGCTTAGCAACTCTTACTAACAAAGTTAGGAAAACGGTATGGCTTCGGTTATACACGTATGAGGGAGGGGAAGTGGCCGTGGCTCGGCTAGTAACTAGGTTGCGACGAAGTTAGAAACGGCCCTGTGAAGAGCTCTCGAAGTTGAAAAATTATTTTGGAAAGTTCTAACTCGAGCTACTGAGGATTACCTGTCGAGTCTTCTCGTTTGCCAGCGTCATAACTGATCCATTCAGCAAATTAATACTGAAATCAAGGGGATATAATTCAGTTTAAAACCCTAAACATTTATTTATTTGGAACACTCGTTGGTGAGCTGTTACAAATCTTTGGTACTAGCAAGTGCAGCGTATAGACATGCAGATCTCCTACGTGATTCATAGATACAGGTTGCTCTTTTTTTAACTTTCATACAGAGAACGATAACGCAGGTAGCACTTTACCTAGAGGTGACTGTCAAGGAATGCATAAAAGTATCAAAGAATGAGGCTTCTTCTGTTTTATCTTTACAAAAATCGACTATTCATGTGGGCTCCAAGCCACTCTGTGACTAAGCCGACAGAGAAGACGTTTTCGTACTGTAATATAGAAGGGGGGGGGGGGCAAAAAAGAAACACTTATGTCGAGTGATATATCAGTAAAGTTTCTACGCCTAGACAGAGGACATGGATACGAGTACCAAGGCGAAGATACCCAAGATGTTTCACGATGAGCAGGAGTAGGCTCTCGCCCATCACCTTCTTCAATATATAAATTCATCTCCAATCGGAACTGACAAAGGCCTATGGAATTCAAGTCACCTCCAAACAGCTGCGAAACTTCTTGTATGGAGCCACCCATGGACAGCTACCTGGAGACCGGCACTCTGGAAGACCTCCAACATCGAGCAGCTCCGACAACGTCGCTACGGTCTAGGATATCATCTTCACCGCAGTCGCCAAGGCGCGGGTTGATGGTATGGACCGGACGTACCTGGAATGGGAAGACCGATATTTTCTTCGTGGACCCCGGACTGAAGGGTGAGTGCTGACGGTTACATCGAGCAGTCGTTGGAAAGACTTTCGCCTACTCGGAAGAAGGGTGTCGAGTAGCTGAAGAAGATGGAATATCCAAGTGTGTCACCTGACCTAACCCCTCGATTACCGGGTTCGGGCGGAGCTCAACAGGGTGGTCTACAGTGGCGGAGAAATCAACGACCTCGCTGAACTCAGGCACCGAATCACGGTCGCGTGGCAGAATCTCTCGATGGCGCTCGTCCAGAAGGCTGTGGCGGAGCATCATGATAGTATACAATATGCTGTTGAATATGGTGGTGGAAATGTCCAATCAGAATTCAATTAAGTGTAACTTATAGCGCCTGAAAGTCAAGGAAGAAAAGTGACTTTTTTGCCCCCCCCCCCTCCTCCTGTACGTAGTTCATAACCCAGTGATCAGTTTTCAAAATTTGTTATCTGTTTCTCCTGCCCACTGATTTTCCATCCCAACCACACTTGTTAGCTTGCGACAAAGGAGAGTGTAATTATGAATTCTCGGTCAATGAGATCCACTCAACAAACCATGTCCAGTGAGCAGCTTGGAACACCATTACTTCCACCCCAAAATGCACACATGATCAGATCAAATCACTCGCCATTAAAGAGTGATCTTTATCTACAGGAGGTTTCAGAAGATACCTGATCAGACGATTGCCCCAAATCCAGGCATCATCGAAATGCATTTCTATGGCGCTTTTCCTGTTCTCATCGTACTCCAAGTTGCACATTTCAAAGGGAATGTAGTTACCAAGCTTCTCTTGCGAAATACATCGCATCTTATCAAGTAACATATCGGCATATTCGGGCATGCCTGAAAGTAGGATGAAAAAAAACACATGAAATTTCAAACCGATCATTCATTGTAACACAAAAGTACCTACAAACGTGTCCGTCTTCACCTTTTTTTGCTTGAAATTGACCTTTGGCCCATAGTCCTGAAAAATACATGAGCTCTAAACCTCAAAGCACTGAACAGTGCGGTGCTACCTGTTTGCGGCGACCTGATTGCGATGGTACCCACTCGACGCCGTCAATCATTCTCATCAATTCATCCTCCTCCGACTCCGTAATGAATTT